TCCCGGTTCCCCCCCCTCCCCTTTTTCTCACCTCTTCTCCTCCTCCTGCCCCCGCTCCTCCGGTACATCCGCCCCCTCCTGGTCCTGCCCTGTCTGGTGTGTCGCACGTCACCCCTCTCCCCCTCGGTAGCACGTCACGTATTGTCTCCTTCCCCACAGTCGTCTTCACAGTCATCGTGACTGCCTTCGGCACTACCGCGACGAGTCGCAGTCGACTCCGAGGGTGTTGGTGTTGGGGGCGCGAGCACTGGTGGTGCCATTTCTGAGGGTGCTGGAGCTGGGGGTGGTGGCACTGGCGGTGCCAGTTGTGAGGGTGCTGGAGCTGGGGGCGTTGGTGCTGGAGGTGCTAGTTCAGAGGGTGCTGGAGCTGAGGGTACTGACACTGGAGGTGGTAGTTTTGGGGTGCTCGTGCTGTGGACACTAGTTCTGGGGGTGCTGGAGCTGGAGGTACTTGTTCCGAGGAGACTAGGGCTGGAGGAACTACTGCTGCGGCGCCTACCCCACCTCCCCATCGCTACCCAACGAGATTCCAGAGGCTTCGTCAGCTGGAGTGCAAGGAGCGGGAGCGGTTGGAGCAGGAGAGGCTGGGGCTGGAGCGGCAGGAGCAGGAGCTGCAGTGGCAAGAGCAGGAGCAGCAGCAGCAGCAGCAGCAGCAGCAGCAGCAGCAGCAGCAGCAGCAGCAGCAGCAGCAGCAGCAGCAGCAGCAGCAGCAGCAGCAGCAGCAGCAGCAGCAGCAGCAGCAGCAGCAGCAGCAGCAGCAGCAGCAGCAGCAGCAGCAGCAGCAGCAGCAGCAGCCGCAGCAGCAGCGGCAGCAGCAGCAGCAGCAGCAGCAGCAGCAGCAGCAGCAGCAGCAGCAGCAGCAGCAGCAGCAGCAGCAGCAGCAGCAGCAGCAGCAGCAGCAGCAGCGGCAGCAGCAGCAGCAGCAGCAGCAGCAGCCGCAGCAGCCGTAGAAGTCGCTGCCCTTGCAGCCGTGGCCTCCACCTGTGAGTGGCCTTCCACACGCACTTACATCGACTCAGTTCCCCCGCCTTGGGCGTATGAACATAGTCGATGGCATGTGGATCTTCAAGGTGAAGCGGCCGCCGGGATCACCGCCGGTCTTCAAGGCGCGCTACGTGGCTAGAGGCTTCAGTCAGCGCGAGGGAGTTGACTTCTTTCAGACCTTCGCACCCACCCCGAAGATGACCACTCTTCGAGTGTTACTCTACGTTGCAGCACAGCGAGACTACGAGCTGCACTCCCTCGACTTCTCCACCGCCTTTCTCCAGGGCAGCCTGCACGAGGAGATCTGGCTACGCCGTCCTCCTGGCTTCACTGGCACTTTCCCACCTGGGACCCAGTGGAGCCTGAGGCGACCAGTCTACGGTCTCCGCCAGGCGCCTCGTGAGTGGCACGACACACTACGCACCACTCTTGCTGCCCTCGGGTTTTGTCCTTCGTCCGCCGACCCGTCGCTGTTCGTTCGTTCTGGGCCCACACCTTTCTTTGTCCTTGTCTACGTTGGCGATTTGGTTTTTGCTACAACAGACAGGGTCGCTCTGGCTGAGGTGAAGTCCGAACTGCAGAAGAGACATACGTGCACTGACCTTGGCGAGCTGCGCCACTATCTTGGCTTGCAGATAACCAGGGACAGAGCCGCTCTCACACAGTCACATATGGTGCAGCAGGTCCTTCAGCGGTTCGGGCTTCAGCACTCCACCACACAGCCTACTCCTCTTGCTGTTGACCATAGATTCAACGGCCCTTTTCCCGACGATCCCTTTGAGTCTAGTGGTCCCTACGCAGAGCTTGTGGGTTGCATCATGTACCTGATGAGTTGTACTCATCCAGAACTCGCTTTTCCTTTCAGCGTCCTCTCTCGCTTTGTTGCGACTGGGAGACACCGTCCTGTTCACTGGACAGCTGCTGTGAGGGTGGCGAAGTACCTGGCGACTACATCAGGCATGGGGCTTGTGCTTGGTGGGAGACAGCCAGTTGTTCTCACCGGTCACTGCGACTCTTCCTACGCTGACAACGTTGAGACTCAGCAGTCTACGCAGGGGTACTGCTTCAGCTTCGGCACTGGAGCTGAGTCGTGGAGGTCCACACGGTCGTCGTCTGTGGCTTCGACTAGTGCTGAGGCATAGATCTACGCCGGTGCTATGGCTGCGCAGGAGCTTCGCTGGTTGACTTTCTTGCTCACCGACCTTGGTGAGCGGCCTCGCTCTGCACCGACCTTGTTCGCTGACAACAAGGCCATGATCCTCCTGTGTCGAGAGCCTTGACTGGAGAGCAGAGTGAAGCACATCGACGTGAGGTACTTTCTCCTACGAGAGTTGCAGCGACGCGGCTAGGCACGGTTGGACTTCGTTCAGTCAGAGGCCAACACTGCAGACATCTTCACCAAGGCTCTTCCGCCTAGTGACCACCACAGGTTCTGTCTGCAGATATGCTTGGTTGACGTTGGCCCTCGGTTATTATAGTCTAGCTTCTTGTTTCTTACCGTATTTATATGCATATGTATTTTTATGTGAACACTTGACTGGCCTTGTGGCTACCTGCTTGTGCTCAGCTTGCGTAGTGACTTCGTGATCCACCCTGATCTTTGCATCGTGGCTTTTCTCGACTGGTCTTGTGACCATTTGTTCCTTTGATGCCCCTCACTTAGCCTATGGGGGTGTGTCAAATGTTTTTATCATTTAAATAGGCTGCAGTAAGGTAGTTCTTAGAGGGTACATGGTTTCTCTCGACCCTTACTATTTGTAGCCTATGCTTCCTAGTAACATCATTTTCCTACCTAACTTACTTCCTTAGTTGTTTAGATTCTAAGAAATCAGTACCGTAACAGCACCGGAAGTTATTGTTGAGGATGGTGATAGTCGCAGTCCTGTAGCAACACAGTACAGTTGATTAGGGAAAGTACCCCTCCGAGTACTTATACCATTGTACTTCAATCTTATAACCATCTTGTTCTCTTTCAATTATCATTAACGAGGTCACTGCAAGACTTCATTGTATTCCTACGATTTAGCAAGTCTTGCCGTATCCTGTCCAGTACAATTCCGGGATACATCAGCAAAATGCAATGTTAGCAGCATTACATGTTGAAGCACCTTGTTATTGTTCACATGCATCACACTTGGGAACAGGGCCCACGTTATCAGGGCAAAACATCCTGATTACCCTGAATTCAGGATGCACTTCTGTATTTACCCTGCAATTTCAGAATAGTCATAATTTTAACCCTGAGGTCACAGGATGTTTTTATGTGAAATGCCCTGGAGTTTCAGGATGGCCGTAGTGTTCTTCCCTGTAGCGTCAGGATGAATGTCGAGGCCTGCCCTGACGCGGATTTTGGTGGGGGGCGGGGGGGGGGGGGGGGGTAAGGGGGGGTGTTCCGTTTCGGGGGGATTTTTTTCCCCGTGGATTTTTGTCTCCGTTGAAATTTTCCCCCGTGTACGTTTCCCGCCTTCGCACGTTCTCTTCCCCTTGACATTTCCGATCCCCCGCTACACCAGCCAAGCCAACCCCACCCCATCACCCACCGCCAAGGCAACTCGTCCTCTGCCTGGCTAGCTCTAGCTGGGTTTCTCACGCTGACGTTCAGTAGCACTCCATCCAACACCCTTGCAGTGTTGCTGTTAGAGTAGCAGCAGCACTAGTAGTGAAGTTCGGCTGCGGCTGCTCTGCTATGCTAAACAGAGTCTGGTCTGGTCTGTTTGTGATAAAATCAGAACCCTGAACACTACAATTTTTGCCCTGACAGGTCAGGATTATTTTCTGCAAAAGCCCTGACCAATCAGGAAGGCTCTGAAGATTTGCCCTGAGAAATCAGGGCATTTTTTTGGATTCTAGAAAAGTGCCCTGAGGGCTCAGGGTGTCCCAAAACCTAGCACGGGCCCTGCTTGGGAACTTCCTATTTTGTTGGAAGCATTTGTAACAGTCTAAAGCTACACGAAAGTTTTGAACTTCATTCAACAACACGAAGCGGAAGACGAACCGGCCCTTGCTGTTACCAAATTTAAAATGCAATTCGCCTTTCAATCTTGGCTTCCACTGGATCTTCTCGTCACCTGCAAAAGCCTGCCAATCCCGCTTTCTTTTCGCGCCCCCCTCATCTCTTTACTATTCGCCCCACGTGCGCCCCGACCGATCCGCCTCTTTTCTCCGATCTGGTCGCAACTCCCGGTCAACCCACTCTCCCTGTCTCTACCCTAACTTGGTAAACCCAGTGTAGCGCGCGAGAATCAACAGCACGTATGAGGTGTCTCCGCTAGCTCATGCTAACGAGCGCCGACGACTGGAACCCCCGGCGCGCGAGTGCAACATTCTCCGCTGCAGCTCTCCCGATGCCACGGGATCTCGGCGGCGTCATCGCGGCAACGCTGAGGTGTCTCTGCGGGTGTCAAGTGATACAAGAGTGTAGTATTTACTAGAATAGTACACGAGAAAGCCAGGTCAACTCACGCAACCGACCGCTATACTACGCTACTGTGCGCTAACCCACTCAGCAACCGCCACTCGCGGCCGAATCTCGCTCATCAACCGTCGGCTGTAAACTAGAGCCGTCTCCGCTCGTTGCGCTCGCGCCTCTCCTCTGCGCGGAAACTCGCCGCTCGTTGCGCCGCAGCTCCGCAAAAACCCGCCAACCGTTCTCCCCCCGTTCTCGCCAGCACCTCGACCGAAATTGCTCCCATACCCTCGAATCTCGAGCCGATAAAATGCCACGACTTGTTGCGCGCCTGCGCGACAGGAAACAGCCAATCAGATAGCGACGTGCGCGGACGCATGTGTGCGACGCGGCGCGTGAGCTCAACGAGTCGAATGTTGCGCGCTGCCCTCAGCGTGTTGGGCCCGTTGGAGGGGTATAGAATGAGCGAGGGTGAGCAGCTTCATCCACACCATTTCGGCGAGTCATTTGTTTAGAGCAGCACCGGTAGAGAGACGGTTCCTCACCAGGAGCTGCTCGCGTTCTAAGCTGGTGTCCCCACTGACAACGCGAACCGGCGTCTCTTTTTCAGAGGACTTCATGTTCAAGTTCGGTTTCCTTCCCTCGGAAAGAAATGGCCATCCGCGTGCGAGATGCGGTTTCGCGAGCAGCGGGTTCGCCGCGCTGCTGGTGGCGTGCCTGCTGAGCGCAAGCGGGGTGGACTTGGTCAAGGCGGAGTTTGACTGGGTTTCGCAGCTGCTGCCCAACTACGAGGCGCAGACTCAGTCGATCATGCGGCAGGTGGCGAGATTGAATCAGACGTATTATTCCAAATTCACCCGGATATTCGCCAGCTACTGTGAGTTCTCAACCCTTCTAAACCGCTCTGTACCCATTTCCAGTCCAATCCGGGTGGGTTCTTATTGACGAGGATGCAGGACGCGACCGTTCTCATCCCCCCCAGCGACAACCACTTTCTCTGCCTCACTCAGTGTCTAATTGCTCTCATGCCTTCCTAACTACTCCTATCCCACTCCCCTTCTCCACTCCACTCCTCTTAACCGCACTCCGCCCTCGTGCAGTCAAGTCCGGGGATCTGGTGATCGATGAGGATGCAACCATCCTCATCCCCAGCAACGACGGCTTTTCGAGGTCCCCAAAAGCAAGATTTTTTGACAACCTCACCCGCAACCAGAAGCTCCGAATACTCCGTTACCACATTCTCAAGGGCCGTTACACCGGGCTGGAGCTCATCAGCACCGCTCCTAACACGCTCTTCCTGACTTTCCATCAGAACCTACCACTCAACAAGACTTCTCAGCCCAAGGCGTACGTGTATTTTGAACCGGTTCCGGGGAGGGTTATCTCGAGCACTGGGTATGTCTTTTGTACATTGGTGTACGCGGAAAATGCGGGGCGGACGAGAAACATAGCTGCACATGGAGTGTCAATGGGCATCGAGCCACCCAACTACTGAGACATGTCTTTGTGCAGCAAGAGGCACTATCCAGTTACTAGCAAGTCAAAACAGCTGGGAGCCACTGGTTTTGGAGTGTAGAGGGGCCATAATAAACCAGGGACTGACAGGAGGGATGGGGTGAGCGATGTCAGATAATTGTTGTGTGATGTTTGGGAGCTGTCTATGTGAATAGAGGGACTCCACTCATGGAGTGCCATTGCTTGGAACGCATGGAATAAATGGGGGTGGGGGGAGTGCTGTTAGAAACTAACGAGCAGGAATGAACGTATTGAGCAGGAATGTGGGTACAAGTGCTAACCCTAAACTGGGTTGTACCCTATATGGGCTACCCCACTACAGCCTACACAGCACAAACATGATTACAGTTTGACACACCCCCATAGGCAAAGTGGGGGAGAACCAGTGGTCACAAGACCAGTCAAGAAAAGCAAAACAAGCTCAAGGTGGATCACAACGTCACCACACATTCCGAGCACAAGCAAATGGCCACAAGGCCAGTTCACATGCAGAGTTATATAAAAGAGAGCAAAAAGTACAGTGATCACTACCTAGCAAGAGTAAGCATGCTGGTATGTATATATATATGTATATACATATATATATATATACATAGATCACAGTACAAGCAAAGTCACGCAGTGAGCAAGTGAGACGAAACAGGCACAAGGCCTAAAACAGTACAGAAACACTGATGATCACCAGACGGAAGTGCCTTGGTGAATGTATCAGCAGTGTTGGCCCGAGTGGCCACGTAAGCAAGACAAAGCTGACCACGCTGCTGCAACTCTCGAGCAAGGAAGTAACGCAGAGCAATGTGCTTCGTCCTATGCTCCGTGCTCCAGTCTGTGCTCCTCACACAAGGCAATAGCGGCCTTGGTTTCTACGTACGGAACTGGAGGGGAACGGGGGCGCTCTCCCAAGTCGGTCAGCAGGTAGGTGAGCCAACGTAACTCCTGTGCAGCCATGGCTCCTTCGTAGATCTCAGCCTCACAACTGGAGCTGAGAACAGAAGACGAGCGGGTAGACCGCCAAGGGAGAGCCGGAACCAAGGCTGAAGGTGTAACCCTGTGACGACCGTTGCGTAGCCAGGTCGTCAACCCAAGAGGCGTCTGAGTGTCCAGTAAGGACAACTGGACCCCGTCCTTCAAGCATGAGCCCCATGCCAAATAAACGTACTGCACAAGTAGCGCAACACTCTCTCAGCAGAGTCCCAGTGCTCTCGCCAGTGTCTCCCAGGCGCAACGTAGCGTGCCAGGATGCTAAGAGGGTAGGCAAGGTCAGGTCGAGTGCAATTCATCAGGTACATGAGGCAGCCCACTAGCTCTGGATAAGGACCACTCGGCTCTACAGACTCGTCCGAAGGTGGAGCTGAGAGCGAGTGACCGGTAGCCAGAGGAGTGGACTGTGGCGAGGACCAAGTGAAGCCGAAGCGCTGAAGAACCTGCTGCACCATGTGTGACTGAGTCAGGGTGATGGTGCGCCGTGCTCTGTCCCGGGTGATCTGCAAGCCAAGGTAGCTGCGCAGCTCACCCAGGTCTGTGCACGTGTGTCACTTCTGCAGCTCCGACTTCACAAGGGCGAGTGCCTCAGTGTCAGCAGTGGCAAAAACCAAGTCGTCGACGTACACGAGGATGTAGAACCGCGGCAACGAAGTGTCGGTGCAGAGAAACAACGACGGGTCTGCAGTCGAAGGAGCAAACCCAAGTGCCGCAAGTGTCATCTTCAGTGTGTTGTGCCACTCACGAGGTGACTAGCTGAGATCGTAGACTGGCCGCCGGAGGCTCCACTAGGTACCTGCAGGAAACGACCCAGTGAAGCCAGGAGGACGGCGCAGCCAAATCTCCTCGTGCAGGCTGCCCTGTAAGAAAGCTGTGCTGAAGTCAAGATAGTGAAGCGCGTTGTCACGCTGAGCGGCAAGGTGCATCAGCACCCGAAGAGTGGTTAACTTTGGGGTAGGGGAGAAGGTCTGGAAGAAGTCAACTCCCTGTCGCTGACTTCGTGCAACGTAGCGAGCCTTGAAGACAGGCGGAGAAATTGACGGTCGCTTCACCCTGAAAATCCACATGCCATCGACTATGTTCGCCCCAGGAGGGGGAACTGCGTCGACGTAAGTGCCTGTAGACTTTCATGATGCCATCTCTGCGTTCATGGCTGTCTGCCACTGAGAGGAGTAGGGACCCGAAATCGCCTCTGCGTAAGAGCGCGGGGTCAGGATGTCTGGTGCATCCGGGTCTCCCTCAGGGGCAAGCAGCATGGCCACGAGATGATGTAGAACGGCTGTAAAACACTCAAAGTCCTCCTGCCTATCCTCAAGGACGTCCGTGCCAAGAGCACACTCACCCCCGACAGACAAAGGACAGACAGACTCAGACTCAGCAACAAGACTAGCGGCGTAGTCAAGACGACAAGCAGCAGCACAATCAACAAGCTCAGCGAGTAAAGCAGGCGCAGTCGTTGACTTAAACGAAGAGTCAGCGACGACAGTGGCTAGGAGACGCGTGGCAGTAGGTCTGGCAGTACGAACCAGGTCAGACTCAGTGTCAAGAACGTGCGGAAGAGAGGACGCAGGAGGAGACGACAGGGGGACATGCCGTGGAACAGAGGAAGGACGAAGTGTCATAGTGTGAGTGCCAAGGACAGGAGGAGGACGCAGACGAGGAATACGACGACCAGTGCGAACAGGCGAGGCAGCACTAGACGCAGGCTCACGACGCTATGTAAGCGAGTCTTTCTGCTAAGTGTGAGGAGAAGGAGCAGGTAGTTGGGGTGAGCCTGGCTGTAACGGGAGGCCAGTAGAAGACGGAAGGCTAAGAACCTCGCGAAGCACCGAGTCAGGCGGCGGCAGAGACGACGGTGACGGCTGAGCGAGGAACAGTCGTGGCTGTGTAGCACCACCAGCACCAGTACCTCCAGCACTAGCACCTCCAATAGGAGCACCAGCAGCTCCAGCACCTCCAGCAGCTCCAAAACCTCCAGTGCGGGCGCCTCCAGCTCCAGTGCCTCCAGCTCCAGTACCTCCAGCTCCAGTGTCTCCAGCTCCAGCGCCTCCAGCGCCAGCGCCTCCAGCTCCATAGCCCGCAGCACCGCAAGCTCCGGCAGCTCCAGAACCTTCAAGACGAGCACCTCCGGGACCAGCAGGGTCAGCAGCAGTACCCCCATTACTGCCCAGCACCTCCAGGACTAGCAGCTCCAGCTCGAGGGCCGCCAGCCCCAGTGCATCCAGCGCCAGCGTCTCCAGCTCCAGGGTGTCTAGGGCTAGTAGCTCCAGCACCCTCAGTACGAGCACCTCCGGGACTAGCAGTGCCAGCACCACCAGCACCTCCAGCACCAGCAGCACCACCAGCCCCGACAGCTCCAGTACTTCCAGTACGAGCACCTACAGGACCAGAGCTACAACTCCTCCGGTACCTCCAGCTCCGGCGTCTCCAGCCGCAGCGCTTCCAGCTCCAGCAACGCCACTCCGAAGGCGGCAGCACTGAGTGTACCACTCGCGCAGCTGCTGTGGTGAGAGAGCACCTCCAGTACCTCCAGTACGAGCACCTCCGGGACCAGCAGTGCCAGCACCACCAGGACCACCTATACTTGCAGCACCACCAGCTCCAGCAGCTCCAGTACCTCCAGTACGAGCACCTCTAGGACTAACAGCTCCAGCAACGCCACTCCGATGGCGGAGCTGCTGAGTGTACCACTCGCGCGGCGACTGTGGTGAGAGAGCACCTCCAATACCTCTAGTACGAGCACCTGCGGGCTAACAGCTCCAGCTCCTCCAGTACCTCTAGAACCTCCCGTGTGAGAGTACGACAGCTTTGTTGGACTTCGCTAGCTTGATCCTGCTTAGTCCAGTACCTCTAGCACCTCTAGCTTAGCTTTGCTTTATTTTGCTTGCTTTTGCTTGATTTCCTAGGTTCGTTGCTTTTACTAATTATAACATAGTTATAGGCTCGAACTAGGTTGAGTGCACCGAATTCTAGGCTTTTCGATTGCCACCGAATTGCCTTCTACCGAATTTGGGAAGGACCCGTTCGGGACGCTTCGCGACCCGCGGAACCTTCTAGTAACACCAGGGTTACTGCCTTTGTGTCAAGCCTATATATAGCCTCGCCTTGTACCCAGGTGCATTATTCAATAGAATTCTCTATCCTAAACCAGATCCTCACACTTGGTAATCAGAGCCTGTTTACATGCGAGGTCAAGACCAGCCAGCTTCGGAGAAATCGCCGAGACCAATGGAGTCTTCGCGAAACAAGACTCTGCACCGACTGGGAAACTCCAGCCGTACACCCCGACAAGTAAGAATTCGTTAAAGTTATCTTATATAGATACTTTAACTAAGAATATTACTTCTCGTGGTTTTCAAGCCTTTATTAAGGGAGAGTCAGAAATAAAACCGGTATCGGTTAACATGGGGACCCAATTCCGGAGCGTAGTACTATACCGGGTAATATGGGGACCATATTCTGAAGGCAGAGCTGCTGAGCGTACCACTCGCGCGGCGAGGGAGGCTCCCGGAGTGGAGAAACATGACCCTTAGGCGCAGTACCCCCAGACTCAGCAACACCAGGCTCCGCACCCGCAGGCTCAGCACCCCCAGGCTCCGCACGCTCAGGCTCAGCACCCCCAGGCCCCACACGCTCATGCTCAGTACACGCACGCTCAGCACCCCCAGGCTCCGCACGCTCAGGCTCAGCACCCCCAGGCTCTGCACGCACATGCTCAGCACCCGAGCCCGTGTGTGACCAACTGTCCCGCAAGTCTGACCAGCCCGATCACCTGTGCGAATGACGTACGGGCAGCGGGCAACACTCCACCGCGACTGCCACAACGGCCGCCACCAGCACACCACCTGGCAAACCACTCACAAAGCTGCTGGCGCGTAAGGGTCTCGCTCGGACGCCGCTGCAGCTGCATCTGGCCACCGCCAGAAACTCCCCACTAAACAGCTCCACAATAACTGCTACTACGGCCGCCACCACTCCCACTGCTGCCACCACCGCCGT